CGGGAATTTGGGGACTCGGGGGCGGGATCGCGGCGGATTCCCGGGAATTCCGCGCCTCCAAACTCTGCGAGCGTTTCCTCGGAGCCGCCGCGGGGCCGCGGAACCTCCGCGCCGCTCGCCCGCGGGGCAAATTCCCGTCGAATTTCGTGATCAGGGAATCCACGGAGCGCAGCGGCTCCGTGTCCACGTCGCCAGGGATTTTGGGAATTTCCGCGTCCTTTTTTCCCAATTTCTCCCCGCTCCTGGGGAGAGGCGCGCTGAGGTCCCCGTGGGATTGGGATCGGCGCAGCTCCTCCGAGCATTTGGGGATTTTCGGCTGCTGAGCCGAGGATTTTGGGGCATCTCGGGATCTTCCCGGGTCCTGATCCGAGAATTTCGGGATGCCCCGAGATTGCCCCGAAGTTTCCTCATCCCAGGAGGATTTGGGGACCCCCGGGGTCCCCCCTGGAATTTCGTGCTCCGAGGATCTGGGGCCCTTCCTTAGCTCCTCATCCCAGGACTTGGGGACCCCCGAGGACCCCCCTGGAATTTCGTGCTCCGAGGATCTGGGGCCCTTCCTTCGCTCCTCATCCCAGGATTTGGGGACCCCCGGGGACCCCCCCGAACCTTCCTCATCCACAAACTCGGGCCCCCCCCGGGAACCGTCCCGCTCTGCGAACGCGGGCGCCCCGCGCATCCCCGCATCCCAAAATCCGCCCTCGCCGCCGCGCCGCTCCGCGGGGCCGCCCGGGGCCCGGGCTGCGGGGGGATTCGGGGGCGCCTGGGGCCGCGCCCCTTGGATGCGCACGCCGAAGCTGTCGCCGCCGCCGCCGCCGCCGTTGAGCACCACGAAGGGCTGCCCGGCGATGCCCCGCACCCGCACGGCCACGCCGTAGGAGCCGCCGCGGGGGCGCGGGGGGCGCGGGGCGCGCCGCGCCTCGCCGAGCTCGCGGATGAAGCGGATCTGGACGCCGTGGTCCAGCGGCTGCTCCGCCATGGCTGCGGGACAAGCCGCTCCTTCATTTCCACCCGTTCATCCCGCATTTTCCATTCATTTCCCCCGTTCATCCCGCATTTTCCATTCATTTCCCCCGTTCATCCCGCATTCTCCCTTCATTTCCACCCGTTCATCCCGCATTTTCCCTTCATTTCCCCCGTTCATCCCGCATTCTCCCTTCCCTTCCCCATTTATCCCGCATTTTCCCTTCATTTCCCCATTCGTCCCGCATTTTCCCTTCATTTCCACCCGTTCATCCCACATTCTCCCTTCATTTCCACCCGTTCGTCCCGCATTCTCCCTTCATTTCCACCCGTTCATCCCACATTCTCCCTTCATTTCCACCGTTCGTCCCGCATTCTCCCTTCCTTTCCCCCCGTTCATCCCGCATTCTCCCTTCATTTCCCCCGTTCGTCCCGCATTTTCCCTTCATTTCCCCCGTTCATCCCGCATTTTCCCTTCCCTTCCCCGTTCATCCCGCATTTTCCCTTCATTTCCACCCGTTCATCCCACATTCTCCCTTCATTTCCACCGTTCGTCCCGCATTCTCCCTTCATTTCCCCCATTCATCCCGCATTTTCCCTTCCTTTCCACCCGTTCATCCCACATTCTCCCTTCATTTCCACCGTTCGTCCCGCATTTTCCCTTCCTTTCCCCATTTATCCCACATTTTCCCTTCATTTCCCCCTTTTTCCCCCGTTCATCCCACATTTTCCCTTCCTTTCCCCGTTTTTCCCACATTTTCCCTTCCCTTCCCCGTTCATCCCGCATTTTCCCTCCGTTTCCCCCATTCATCCCACATTTTCCCTTCCTTTCCCCCGTTCATCCCACATTTTCCCTCAGTTTCCCCCGTTTTTCCCATTTTCCCTCCGTTTCCCCCGTTTTCCCACATTTCCGCACCGATTCCCCCACTTTTCCCCTCTTTTTCCCACATTTTCCCTCCCTTTTCCCCAGTTTTTCCCTCCCTCTTTCCCGTTTTTCCCTCCATTTCCCCCGTTTCCCCCCCATTTTCCCTCCGTTTCCCCCGTTTTTCCC